GGGTGTTGTACAGCCGGGTAGCACTGTTGCCCAGAGTGCGAGACCTCAGCTGCTGAACCACCCTGAGGTCACAGGACAATCTGCGGAAAACACAGCGCTGACATTAAATACAGCTGCGTCGCCGCGCAAACACTTCAAGCGTTACGTTCAAAGCAAACGACAGAGATACAAATACACGGAGCTGAATGTTGTCTTACTTGTACGTAAGTACGGCTGGAAACTGGCAGCTGTAGGTGGGGGACAGCTGCCGTATGATGCCCCGTGACTACCCTCCAACCTTCTTCTTGCATCGACGGCACTCCAGGTACTCAGTGGCCATGAGATACCAGCCGTCAATGTTCAGGACCCTCCGGATGGTCCGGTACAGCCCAGCCTTCATCAAGGACCCGGTGCACGAAGGCTGGGGGCATGTCAGCTGCAGACACCACATGCAGTGTGGCATCCACAAGAACAGCCGACATGCGAAGAAAGGGTTGGGGGACGCGGGAGGCTGATTGTAGATCAGCCGGACTTGGGGAGGGGTCCACCAGAGGCTCAGCTCACCGGTGAGCCCTGGTGAACAGCACCCGACCGATCGACTGCTGCTGCTCCGCTGTGAGAGCTGCCCGCCAGGACTCTGGAAGCAGCTGGAGGGAGAACGAGAGGAGCTGCTGCTGCTGGCTGTGGACGTGGCTGTTGTGGCCGTGGCGGTGGATGCAGCAGCAGCACTCGCTCTCTGTCTGTCCCTCTTCTTGACGTAGCGGACAGCGTTCTCCATCTGCGTGCCTGGAGCTGGCGCCTTCCTCCGCAGGTAGTTGACAAATCTATGAGAAATCAGACAACTTGTCACATGACTCTTACCATTGATAGTTATCGCAGCAGCTGTATCGCAAATGCTTTTACAACATACCGGATTTTTTTGGGGTCCTCAGACTCGTACGGACGGCTGGTGTGGGCAACTCCTCCATACTGCAGGGTTGCAGCAGCGGCCGGGGCAGGGATGGTCCGGGCGGCAGGGGCAGGCGGTGGCGGCGGCCTGGCTGCAGGTGCCGGGAACGGAGGTGGAGGTGGAGGTGGATGCGGCGGCGGCGAGAGAGAGAGAGGGGCCTGTACTTCTGAGGCTGAGAGAAAAATAACGTTTTTCAGTTACATGACAGAATCAGATTCATGTGTTCATACTGAGGGGCAGAGCAGCTCGGGGACGTCCACACAGACAGTAACATGATGGTCTGAGAGGAAGCAAGATGAGACAGATTAGACAGACAAGTGGAGGCAGCGATGCAGGCAGCAGCTACAGGAGTCATGCAGGGAGGAGGATGAACAAAGTGTGATTCTACGGAAGCCGTCATTAGTGATGTGTTAACAGCTGATGGGCCAGAATGTCGGTTAGTGATACGAGACCCACACCGGGAAGCTTTTCATTGAATCCAGACTTACCCTGTTGTCTCCTGTCCTTCTGATTACACAAACATTAATAAAAAGGAAAAAAAAAGGAGTCAAAAGCAATGAAAACATTTCCGACGATATTTCACATAAATATGACTTTATATTTTACTTACACTTCTCTATGTCAACTACTGCTCTGACCAGCTCTTCGTCTGAGATCTCCTCCGATGACTTTGAGGGAAGAGCTGGTCTGGAGGAGGCTGAAAGTTCACCATGAGAGAGAAGAAACAGAAAATATACAGTGACAAAACATTAGAAACAAACATAATGAAGTTAAACTCTGGCTTTAATGTCAATGAACTTGAGCTTGCCTGGAAATGCAGGCTGAGTGGCCACCAGCTTCTTTATTTTTGCCTGCATTTCCACCGCAGACAGAGAACGCCGCCCGCAGACGAAGGCCGTGAGTGCAGAACCAAGAGGCCTGTAATGAATAGAATCTATGATGTGAGATGACGTACATACATGATACAACATTTTCTCAGAAGGAGAGCTTTCAATGAAAACACATACTTTGACGCACTCCTGGCTCCCTGGCTCACGGCCAAGACAGAGGCTGAGCTGCTGCTGCTGGCTGTGGACGTGGCTGTTGTGGCCGTGGCGGTGGATGCAGCAGCAGCACTCGCTCTCTGTCTGTCCCTCTTCTTGACGTAGCGGACAGCGTTCTCCATCTGCGTGCCTGGAGCTGGCGCCTTCCTCCGCAGGTAGTTGACAAATCTATGAGAAATCAGACAATTTGTCACATGACTCTTACCATTGATAGTTATCGCAGCAGCTGTATCGCAAATGCTTTTACAACATACCGGATTTTTTTGGGGTCCTCAGACTCATACAGGCTCTGTAGGGTCTCAAATTTAAAGTCCCTGAAGCCAACAAGGGCCTGTCTCTCCTGACCAGGCTGGAGGGACTTCACCCACGCCTCCTCAAACGCACTGTGGAACCTGACTGCCTCCACAAAGTCAGGGTACGCCGAGGAGTAGCGGGTGAGGGCGTCCTACCTACTCTCTCTCCTTCTGGTGGGAGGCAACCAGGTTGACGGCGTAGCCCACGTCGTTCTCCAGCAGCCAGTGGAAGGTCTTGCCCTGGTACCTGCTAAACTGGACATTCCACCGGCTCAGGATGAGGGTGGCGTTCCCGCTGTCGCCACCCTCGGAGGCAACGTGGGCCCAGGCCTCCGTATCCACCTCCTCCAGCTTTTTGGCCTTGACGGGGGCAACCGGGCGACAGCCAAGGGCTTGGGCCTCGCTGGAGGCCCTCAGGAGGAGGGTGCCATTCGCGCACCTCCTGAAAGTTGGGTTTTCCATCTAAACAGAGCAAATGAACATCAGCAGAGTTGTCTACTACAGTGACACAGAACATGAGACATACATGTCATATTATTATATTAATGCAACTGCTGCGTGAAAACTTACATCTCTTTTCAAAGAACGAAGCAGTTTGAATCTGTAACAGAGCAGAGGAGGACGTGAGATCAAGGTGTTACTGCTCAGTTCTCTCTGTATCATGTATAAATACATATTAATACACAGTGTGTGTGTGTGTGTGTGTGTATATATATATATGTATATATAAAATCGACATCAGCTGCGTGAACAGCATGATCACTGACATATACTGTTGCTCATAAAGTCTTTCCGTGAAATGATTGGGACAATGTGATTTACTTCATTTCACCTGGGTAATTGGGTGATCATTGCACACCTGGTCAAAAGTGATTACTGATGCATTTAAATAGGATTGTGTCTGAAAACAAAACGATTCCAACTTTAAGGGCAACATGAATGACAAAAGCTTAATTTTTTTGCCTCAACATGTAAAAATTAATGTAAAAGCAGCAAACAGCATTAGTAGCACTGTACGGTCCGACTGACAGCGGTGTGTTAGCATCGTGTATTTAGCCTAAAATACAGTTGAACGACATGAATGTTAGCTGGCTAGCTCACGACAAATACATATACTGTACATCACCAATTCCGCGAAGTTAAAATGATAATTTGACATTTTCGGAACGACAAAATCCGCGTATACAGTGATAACGATGACTTCGGTACACAAAGTCTGACTAATGCATCGGTCATAAACAAGTTTTTCCCCAAATATATGATTAAAACGACTGAATATTGTACTTACGTCTTCACTGCAGTCTTCTAGGAAGAAAATGCTTCACCTTGACCGTGGGCGTCACAGCTCGGGAATTGGAACAAATCCGCCCCCCCCCCCCATTGTTTTTTCCTAATACCTTACCATTTTATGCATGCCTTATTTTCTACTAATATTTATTATAAGCACTTATGTTTTTACTCCTATAGCACTTGTGTTTTTATCCTTTTAGCACTTACCTCCCCTGCCCCGACTTTTAGATCCAAATACACCCCTCTATCTTAGTTTTTTCTTATTACCATTTACCCTGTCTCTTAGTTCTTCTATGATTAATTCTTAACAAATTTTATCTTTTTACCTATATTATAGATCTTTTTAAACCAGTTATTTATTATTATTATATTTGTTTTAAAATTATTTATTATTAATCTTAATAAAAAATTTTTTTACTCTTTTATTTATCTACTATTTTTATTTTCCTTTTCCTATGCATCTGCCTATGGTGATCTGCATGGTCATAACTAGGACGGGACCCAGCCCCCCAACATATTTATATACTTATTTTAATTATTCTATTTATCTTCTTATTTATTTGCTGGGCCCTTACCCCTTGGTAAATTTAGTTACAGCAGGTCCCTCTCTTCACTCTGCCCAGTGCTTTGCCTGGGAATCGAACCCTGATCCTCAGTGGGAAGGACCACTGAACTTTCCATTCCACCATCCACCCTGTTAGTAGGCCAGTGCACATTAATTGAACCCAAACTCATAACCCCAACCCCAGCCCTAACCCTAACCCTAACTGCCCAGTCGACGGACGAAGCAGGGGGAATCATCAAGATAGTTTTAAAATCCTAACCCAGTGAGGTAAACTTTTACAAAATCTTAACTACAAACCTATATGTGAATATTGTGAATAGCTTTTAGTCTGAAAGATTAGGACTCCAAAAGTTAAGACTGACATGCCCATTGTTTTTAGGAATCTCTCCTAAATCAGCAAGTTAGGGGGTACTTTTAGGGTTAATATGCTTTGTGAATACAGGCCCTGATACTCTGGTATGCCTTTATCCAGGTTAGTGATACTCTTGTATTTTCATATCCAGTTTACTGATAATGTAATACATCATTATTTAGGTTGTTGATTCTCCGTTACATATAGTTAAATGTCATAAGGTTACTGTAAAAGTAGTGACATCATCCTATAATCCAATAATTTGGTTTTACAGCAATAATGCAAAAGACAAACCATTGACAGCGTCCTCACTCTATCACAGCTGAAGTCTAGAGGTGAAAAGTGTTCATGAGTTTTATTGAAACACTGGCTCTTTGAAGGTGAGTAGTAAGTAGTAGTAAAACTGAAATAAATCAGGAAGGAGGGAGTGAAGAAGCAGGAGCAGGAACATCTATCTGGATTCTTCAATACACAACAAGTGTGTTTGTTTCACTCTGTTGATTCTGTTGTGACAAAGTGATGAACACACTCAGCCAGCGATGATGTGCTTGACAAAAGCTGAAAGATATACACAGAATTTTCTTCAGTCATTATTTCACAGGTCTGTGTTTGTGTTTCTTGGGTTTTTATTGAACGTGTCTACCTTCATAGTTAATACATCCATTAGCATCTTCCTGTCCTGCCAGCAGTTGTTCCACTTCTCCCTCTGTCATCCTCTCTCCTGATGACACAAATCATTGTACAAAAATTTGTAAAGAAGAAATGGTAAAAGGGTTAGGATTAGGGTTGGTTTACATTTAAAGTGGTGTTTAACCCACTGAACCACTTAGACTTAATGCTGACAACAATGGAACCACATGGGAGAGAAGTGTCTGCAGACTGAGAATTATTACATTGCATGGAAAAGGACAAGGTTACACAAAGATAATTATTGTTATTAATTCTCACACAAACACACACATACATATGAACACAACCAAAACCGATCATCATACCCAGAGTAACAAGAACGTGTCTCAGCTCTGCACCCATCACTGTCCCATTTCCCTCTTTATCAAAGACTCTGAGGCCTTCTACAAAATCCTCATACGTCCCCTGTTAAAAAAAAAAACACACACACACACTGTAAGAAAGGAATACTTTTACCAATAAATTATATTGATTTACCTCTGACCTGTGCAGGTGAAAACTTTTATCTCACTTTGTCTTTTGACTGCGACACATGTTGCAGCATTGGCAGGAAGGTCTCAAAATCCACCAGTTTACTGTCCATTTCTGCCCACACACACAAAATCACATAATTTCGTACAAGACTGTTAAAAGCTGATGAATACAATGAGGGAGTTTTCTGACCTGAACTCGATTTAGACTAACTCTCTAAGCCTAATGTTACTTCTGTCACAAAGAAAATCCATTTGAATATGTTGTTAAGATATAATATATAATTAGTTCATAAACACTGTAACTTGCATGTGTATGTACCCTCTGATTTTGGTCGTCCCAGCACTCGCAGGACCTGAGCATTGGTTGGATTCTGTCCCAAAGCTCTCATCACGTCCCCACACTGAGAGAACAAGATCTTCATCCGATTCTCTGGAGTTCTGTCAAACAGCTGGAAGGCTTCTTTAAACTCTACAGCCACCAAAGAGTTAACACTGGAATTAAACTCCATTCATATTTGGCATTAACATTCCATCTGTATTGACATACGTTCCCTGGAAAAGGATAAACACCTTGGTGCCAGGTGCAGAATACGTTGTAATGGGAATGTGATTGGTTGAGCCAGACCACATTTGGAGCAGTGGTGATTGCTCTAAGATGCAAGGGAAGCTCAGCTTCCTCTAAAATGTCAACAAAATAAGTGGTCAAATATGTGCTGTTGTGTGAACATTTCATTGACTAAATATGCGCTAGAACACGTTCATCTTTTGTTCAGAATCAGCTGCTTATCACAGGTAACCGACACGACTTCCTTCTCATTCATCCCCGCAGCGCCACAGCGCTTTACACAGTGTAGAAGCCGAGCGTCTACTGACTTCAGTGGGGAAGCACAGAGTGGGTTGTTCCACTGCAGCGAAACTAGACGGTCTTTGGATAAATGCTGGGCTTTGTCCCGCCCATCGGACGCTCAGCGTCTCTGGGGGTCTATGGGGCAGTGGGCTGGCCCGGACACTCGGCTTCTGCATGATGATTGGATGATCTGTCTGAGGCTGAGTCCCTTTTTGATTAACAGCAAAATGAGCGAATCAGCGATCTTGAAGTTTAAGCATCCACCGGAGCATTTTTCAAGTTTTTCATTCCGTTGTTCGGAGTTCATCTGGAGACGTTACTGATCCTCAGTGACTTTGTCTTTGTTAAAAACGACTAGCGTTGTGTTTGGCGACTCTCTTCTGTCACTCTGCGAATTTACATATAAATAAACGGACACATTTTATGATGTAGGCCGAAAATGAGCTTCCCCTCCTTATAAGACCAGCAGCCGCCACTGATTTGAAGGTGATCTGGCTCGCACTGTGATCAGGTCTCAGTAGGTGTAAATGCAATACCTACTGTGTGTTCACAGGTAAAGAAAAAAATCTGACCAGCAAGTTGAAAGGTAACCTAACTCCACCTCTTCCTGCTAAAGAGGTGGAAAACTTTTATCCAATTTAAGCCACAGTTTTATAACACATTTTTTAGATCTTGGTCAATTTCAAATATGTATTTAACCTGATGATGAAGGATTTTAGACCCCTTATCACTGTACAGTGTTAATGAATCACTGACTTTAAATGTGAACCTGTTTTATTCAGTGTTTTTACTGATTATAATGACCTGGTCTGTTTGTTGTAGAGAGGAGGAAACTTCTGAGGATAATTAAGTTCCAGGTAAAAACCTCCTGAACCACTGACACTGAAGGAATCCAAATCAGGAGAAGCTGATGGCAAAAACTCCCATGATCCCACACTATTTCACAATGTCACCAAACACCATCTTTTATGATTTTGATTGACAGACGCTTAGTGACAGAAGTTACAGACTGTGTTTAATAGTAGATATAAATGCATTATATCTTATAAATGCAACCACTGATCAGACATTATCATCCAGATACAGATGGTGGTGAGTGGGCTTTTTCACTCACACACACACACACACACACACACACACACACCAGAGTTTAAAGTCAGAATTGTGATATCAGTGTGTGTGTGTGTGTGTGTGTGTGTGTGTGTGTGTTTGCTTTACCTTCTATCTGATCAGCACTGAACTCAATCTGAAAACAATAACAATTTTCTGTTACTGATCTTGAATCAGCACACTCTGATGGTTCAACTGCATTTGAGTATTTTTATTGGGTTTCACTACAGATATCTGAATATCAATCATATACAACAGTAAGTCCTCACTGACTGAGGGAGTTCAAATAAATCAAATCATATATTCAGCTGTGGCTTCAGATCTGATAAGGACTCTACCACAATAATAAAGCTCTCTTTATTTTAACATCTGACTGCAGGAAGTTTAAATCTCTCTTATTCTAGGTCTATAGAGAGAGAGAGAGAGAGAGAGAGAGAGAGAGAGAAAAAGAGAGACAGACACAGGCAGAGAGAGAGAGACAGGTCAGAGACAGAGAGAGATGGAGAAAGAGAGAGAGAGGGAGACAGGCAGAGAGAGAGATAGGTCAGAGAGAGAGGCAGACACAGAGAGACAGAGAGAGGGACAGAGGCAGAGAGAGAGACAGGTAGAGAGAGAGACAGGCAGAGAGAGACAGAGAGAGAGAGAGAAAGAGGGAGAGAAAGACAGGTCAGAGACAGAGAGACGGAGAGAGAGAGAGACAGGTCAGAGAGAGAGAAAAAGAGAGAGAGAGACAGAGAGAGAAAGAAAGGGAGAGAAAGAGGCAGAGAGAAAGAGGCAGAGAGAGAGAGACAGAGAGAGAGAGACAGGTCAGAGACAGACAAGCAGACCTTGATGCTGTGTGGGTCGAAGTCTGGTTCTTTAGCTGGTTCTGGAGAAAGTTTCATTGCTTCCGTCTTTTGTTCTGGTTTCTTGGGGGCCATGATGAAATGGAAAAAAACAAATAGAGTGGAATCAGATAAAAAGTGAAAGAAGAAAGAGAGGAAAAGGAGAGTGAACAGATTCATCTGTGAGATGGTTTAAATACTCTCCATCAGTCCATCAGCTACATTTAAGGTCAGAGAATTAACTGATGATTGAATCCTCTCAGGAGACGAGCTGCAAATAGAACTGAAACCAATTCTACAATCCTCTACTGAACATACATCTACTGACACCACCTTAAATAGAAAACATCTAGTCTACTGGACCAATGCAGAACATACAAGTTCTGATACCACTTTAAATCTGGATGAGTCCCTGATGCTATACAGTTGAAATCTGCTCAGTAACTGATGTGTGAGCAGCTGTACTAACTGCACTAACTAACTGTCTTGTGTCTGTTTTACAGAATATTTTCACATCTTTATTTATCAGAAAATTTACACCATATTCATGCTTTTAGCATTTCAACACAACAATGTTAGCTAACAAGTTAGCCGAGGCCCTACAGCCGAATACTGGGATTGCAACTTAACTATAACAAAGCTTTGTTTGAGGGCTGGCAGGTGGACATCACTGCTCATGTTTAACATGGTGACAGAGTTAGAGCAGAGAATCAATCTGAGGATTTTGTGCTTTGTAACTTTGCAGAACCTTTACATGTGCAAAGAAATTGTAAGACACTAAAGGAAAGGGAAAACCTAAAAAGTAGAATATTGGTACTTTAAATTTACTGAAAGACATTCTATTAAATGTGAATGTGAATTACCCAGAAATAAACATATACTAGCACTCAGAGTGGCAGGGTATATAACCAGTGTGTAAAAAGAAGGAAGGTGAAGATGTTTCTACTTTGTATACAAACTGACAGAAGTGACAAAGTGCTCATGTCTCGTCTCATGAGAATGAGGTTAGTTTTTTTTTTTCAGGAAATGGAGAGGTTGCAGCAGTTGTAGTGTGAGAGACGGCTGGTTTGAAAAACCACGTGATGAATCATACTTCCTCTACCAGTCAGGCCTCAGTCCTCTGCGTTTCTTCTTTCCTGATCAGTGACACAGAGATGGCGAGTACGAGGTAAGATCATATTAAATGACCTGTCAGGTTCTGCATAATCTCTGACCTCATGGTTCAGTTTTGTGGTTTCTGCAGGTTTCTCCTCATCTCTACTGGCTGTAAATCTTGTTTAGTTGAATATACTTGTCTGTAGGCCTCCACACACTGATGTAGGTATGTGAAACACGAAAAGGTTGAACTTTTCTTGATAGGTGCGCCAAAATAAACTCTATTGTGGGGGATTTTTTAGACATACAGATATTATGAGTCAGGGATTACACTTTCAACGTATACATTCTGTTGTTCATATCATGTGAGGAGGAGATAATAAGACTACATGCATGACTGAAATTCCAGCTTCCGTTGTTTGGAGGGTTTCAATTTGTTTCCTGTTGCTAAAGCTTCAGTTCTCATCGAGTGAGCTCAGGAGGGTTTTTGATATGTGATGACAGCAGCTGCGCTGTTGTTTTATGTGGTTTCATCTCACAGTCAGTTACAGAAAAGATGGAAACCCACAGAGCTGAAGCACCATGACTGCAACAGTTTAATTCATCACCTCTGCTGGTTCATTTCTTCACTTTCACACTGGAACCTCATCACAGCAATATTCTGCTAATTTTTCATGTTAGTGTCAAATATGAATAAACAAAAACAAAGATCACATTTCTTCCAAATTTATCAACCAATCGTTGACATCATTATTCAAGGTAAAATTTCAGAGCCAGTTAAAGGCTCAACAGATACATTTTTATCTTGTTAAAAAACACTGAAGAAATACTTAAAATCTTTAAAATGCTCCTGTGATATCTATATATAGTGTTCTACAGCTCTGAGCTGTAACTGATACATGCTGATTTTCCTACAGCTGCTGCTGGACCCTGCAATTAACCAGCAGTAGAAGGTCTCAGTGGTCTTGGAGGTCTATAGTTAATCTGTGAGTTAGTCATGTGGCTTGTTCCTTGCCCAGTAAGGTCTTTCTGTATACGGAGGAGGAGCTTAAAATCAGCTCTAAATGTAACAGGAAGTTAAACTGGACTAATGTGGTCTCTCATGTCTCATCTGGTTAATAGTCAAGCTGCAGAGTTTTGAATGAGCTTAGGTCTCTCAGTGGTAAAAAAGTGCATTGCAGTGATCAAGTCAGCCTGAAATGAATGCATGAAGCACGTCAGGAGGAGGTTGTGGTGGATGAATGAATATGAAACAGGAGAGCAGTGTTTGATTCCCATGTTGTTTCTATTATCCATCACCGTTGGTTGTTATTACTGTAACCATGACAACAAAGATCATCTAAAGTTGACAAAATACTTATTTTAACCCGAATCACCATCTTTTCCTAAACCTAACCACGCCATGAGCATTACTACAGTAACCATGGCGACAAAGGTAGGCACACCGCTCTCGGTACAGTCTGCGTGTTTATTATTGTAACAACCAAGGTCTATTTCAGGAGACACTCCTATGGGTCATATCAGGGGGTGATGTTGTAATTTCCACAGGTTATTAAACAGCATTTCTCTTTTTGATTTGATTGTTCATCCATTTATTTATTGCTAGAAGACAGGTAGTAATGGAGTTTACAGCTGCAGCATCATTCGGTTCAGCAGAGATGTACAGTTGTGTGTCATCAGCGTAACTATGGAAACATACATTGTGCTGATGACATCACCACATGGCAGGATGTACAGTGAGAATAATAATGAACCAAGGCAGCAGATGTCAGGTTTCTCAGAGACACCTGTCAACACAAACCAGAGCTGGTTTCAAAATAAATGGATCTCCAGTCTTATTACCTTTTTATTCTCCATCAATCTCTTAATTCTGCTTATTTAATTGCTCTAAAATCTAAAAATAATCTTTCCTCATGCAGTTCCTGTCCTGTTGAATAAACAAGACTGTTTACATTTTCAAATCTATTTCTTCATGTTGCTTTTCTTCATCAGTGTTTGTTCCACTAACACCTGAGTCTTACCTTGTTAGTTACCTAAACTCTGCTGTTGTTATATCCACATTCTTAGCTGTATGTTTGAGATTGTGTTTAATACACTCTATGAGACTTCATATATTAACAGGCACAGACTCTTTTCTTACTCATGTCATCTGCATAAATTAATTAAAGAAAATCCTGTAAGACTCTTCACATGCAGTAGACATGAGAGTCTTGTTTTATGTCTTGACCTTCTGTTTGGTCCCTGATCAACAGATCTGATCAGATTTTATAAAACAACAGCAGGTTCAAAACATTAAATGATCAAAGTAGTTGAATTTATTAGATATTAATTTAGTTTTCATCTCAGTCAGTGCTGAAGCCTTGTGTACTGATCTGTGTCTGAATACAGACTGAACTAACATTTACTTAACAGACACCAAAAACATTCTAATCCATGATTCTGATTCCAGGTCTGGAAAAGTTAAACTGCAGCACCTGCCCCCAGATCCTCAGAGGCCCTTACCTGTCTGTATAATCAGGTTTTGTTTAAGAGGCCTCAGCCCCTAATAAATCAGAACAACTGTGAAATCACTTTGTGTGTTTGTTGAAGTAGAGTGCAGGTCTACTTAATCAATTATACTGTTTATGTGTACCCAGTCTCATTCTTTGGAGTTGAGGGTTAGGTCTTTTTTTATCTGATGTTTTCCTTGTACTTGGCCAGCAGAAGGAAAAATGTGTAACCACACTAAGGCAATCAGAGCTTTTATTCTTTTACTTCACTAGTGAAGCTCAGGTCTTTAACATTACACCTCTTATCTTTCTGTAGCTGAGGTTTTCCCTGTAGTTGGCAGCAGAAGGACAAATGTTGTGTAACCACAATGAAGCAATCAGAACTGTGAACAGGAACCCAAACAGGAAAAAGTCAAACAGTCCCCAGACTGTCACTGAGTGTCAACCCACACAATTTAACCACAAGCAAAGAGAAATGAACGGACACTGACACCAAGTGAAAAGTCGTGTTCTTTGTTGGTTCTCAGAGTCACAAACTTGCAGAGTGCAAAGCAGCAGCCGCTGGTTCAGCCTCAGGGAGCTGTACAGATGCGCATTAAGAGCTCACAGACCTCCGGAGACCGCCTGAGTCAGTCCAAGTCCATGGTGCTGCAGGAGTCTGACCTCCCACAGAAACCTGTACGTAAACTACAAACAACTGCCATCCAACAAAGCTGCAGTTCACTTTTTAACTGCTCTGTTCCATCTGCAGATCTCCCGGCATCGCAGGAACCAATCTCAGCACAACGTTGCTGTTGCAGGAGCTGCACTGTTTGAACCAGTGGTAAGAAGGAAACTCAACATATCACGAAACAAACTGAACATCAGCTGCAAACTCAGGCCTGTCTGAGGCCTAAACACATTGTTCTCTGTTCAGAAACATTATTTCCACACAAATCGATTCTTCAGACCTTACCAACAGACACAGTTTATATTTATTTCATACACTTCTGTCTCATCACATATTCAATTTCAACTTTCCTCCAAAACCAAGCCTTGTCACCCTCAGCCAATATCGTCTGTGTTTTACTTTATCTCTATTTTATTGCCATCATTTAATGTTACATATTCACTGATAAAAAATATCAGGACAGAAATGATTACAAAGGCACAAAGATTAACTCTAGTGTTGAAGTCAAAGAAACGTGTTTTAGAATTAAATGAGTGAATACTTCTGTTTATGCATGTACCTGCATGTGTTTCTACAGGTGGAATTGAAAGGTGAACACCTGAATGTGGCTAAAATCTCAGACAGTGGTAAGAAGCAGAGGAAGAACTGGACTTCAATGTGGACCGTGCTGACCTTAGACCAGCTGCTGTTTAATAAAGACAGACAACAAGAATCTGCTCAGGTATGAAACTGATCTCCTACTTTATCTAGTTTCACTTTGTTATCTCTACTTTATCTCTACTGTATCTCTACTCAATCTATTGTTTATCTCCACTTCATCTTTACTGTATCACTACTTCATCTCTTCAGACAGACAAGAATCTGGTCAATTATCTCATCATCTGTATTGTATCTCTACTTTATATCTATTCTATGAAGAGAAAACACACGGCCGATCTTGTATGAACATATTTTCTTTCTGTCACTGTAGATTTCTGAACAAACTGAACTGACTTTTATAAAGTTCAAATTTTTCATTGGTTAATGCAACCAATGATGTTTATCTGGGTCCAAGTCAATTAATTTAATTGATTATATTAGATTATGTAGTATTACAAGGGTCATAAATTAAACTTGGTGAACCTGCAGCTGAACAGATTCTTAATTAATATTTTTTATTTCTAACTTTGTCATGTGTCATCATTTTTTCTGTGTTCACTCTCTCTGCTCAGAAACCAGGAAGTAAGACAGATGTGGTCCAGCTGTGCGGAGCTGTTGTCGAGTGGACAACAGAGAAGTCGAGCAGGAAAAATGTCTTCCAGGTAACAAACCTGTCACACTTTACACTGAACCAGGATTCAGGTTCAAGGCTGAAACTGTTTCTCTACCTTTCTTCTGTTCACAACAGATCACAACAAACACAGGAAGTGAATACCTCCTGCAGGTTGAGAGTAACTCCACTGCCAGCAAATGGTATGACGCCATCAGAAAAGCTGTCAACTCTTCAGTAAGAACTCACTTCTATTTAAACCAGCTATTACTTCTATTGTCATGTTTTGACTTTTATTTTTGCATTGTCCATTTACAAACTGTCAACAACAGCTCAGAACCCACAGATATTTAAGTATGATTGAAAATATTCAGATAACTGTGACATGAAACAGAGAAAAACTAAAAAATCTCAGACACAGGTGGATAGACTATCCTTCAGAAAGTGAAACTCCAGCCCTTCTTCGGATTATTGGTGAAATAAAACTCTTTTTCTGTTTAGACTAAAGCAGATGGAGGTTTTCCCCTACGGAGGTCAAACAGCACAGAGTACCTGCCCAGACACAGCTCCCTACCTGGCTATGGCTCAGCCTCCCCCAACCCCAAGCAACGCAACCCGGTTCACAGACGCTCCATCAGTGAGTGACTATGTCACTATTATCTTAGTGGAGCATTTAACAGCTAAAGAGATGGTGGAGACCAAACACAGCTAAAAGAGAGGGAACACTGGACTTTGATTCATCAGGTGACACAAACAGCAGTCCACATGAATCATCATGTTGATCTGCTGGATGTAGAAATACAGTACATATTAGACACTACTTCATAAATGTCAGATGTATTTATAGAACACGTGTAGAAAGACTCCGTTATTTCAGGTTTAGTGTCCATGTTTTTGTGCAGACATGTTTGGTGGCTCAAAGCTGAAACACAGTACCTCGGACAGCGCTGACAAGAACGGAGTAAAGAACAGACTGAAGAAGTTCATCACCAGACGTCCATCCATGAAGACGCTACAGGAGAAAGGCCTCATCAAAGGTGTCTGCCTTTTGTTTACATGTTGAACCTATTAACACACAAATCCCCCTTTTCTTTCTTCCTAATCAGCTTTAAACATGTTCAAGTCCAAATGAATCATTGTCATAAAATGAAGTTTATCATGCTGTTGTGGCTCTACATTGAAGTACTGTGATGTTTCAACATGTCTGCTCCGTCATTTCAAACATATTTTACCAATTCATCTTTGAATACTTTGAGATCTCCATTAGAATTTCAATACAGTTCTGCTGATTTGAATAACTAACAGTGTTATTGGCAGGTGTAATGACGTGTTTCTGTACTTCAACCCTTAAATGATCAACTGTGCTGCAACATGAACCATTAAACCTACAGTAACTTCCATGTTCATGCTGTAATGTCTGACTCAGATCGAGTGTTTGGCTGCCATCTGTTGACTCTCTGCGAACGTGAAGGAACCACGGTGCCCAAGTTCGTTCAGACCTGTTTGGATGCCGTCAATAAACGAGGTACATCCGTTAACAGCTGCTGCTGATATATTACTGCAGAGGAAACAGGAGAGGCCTCATCCAGCACACTCAACCAGCAAAAGCCAGTACATGTGGATCCAGTACAGCTACTTCTTTGTGGATCTACTGGTTGATGCCAGTTTATGTATTGTTTCATATATTTTCTAATCAGCTGTGTGATTGTGTTTTCAGGTCTGGAGGTCGATGGAATCTACAGAGTCAGTGGAAATCTGGCCACAATCCAGAAACTTCGCTTTATGGTCGATCAAGGTCAGTTCAACACAAAACTGATTGCACCTGCTCCAATCCTGTCTCCTACAAAATACATTTAAATTCTACCACTTTACAACAGAAAACCATACCACAAGGATTACAGCTTCATATAGCAGTTAAATGTCCTTCCCTTGTCACAGCCCGGCTCAACGGCTGGACAACCAGAAAGGGGAGATAACACAAGTTCAAATAAGGTATTTACAACAAGGTAAATTAGATTCAGGCCGGCCAATAACTGAAAAGTAATAAACAGAAGAAAGGCCACAGTTGCCATCAGATCTGCTAGGAGTGAAGGATAATCAACATACCAACAGCCAGAGCGCCGACAGAGAGGACAGGCAGAGAGCGAGCGAGCTCAAACAGAACTGAATGGGGATGTCTTTATGGTGCACACCGGGCCCAGGTGTATCACATCAGGCTGATGAGATTCCTGCATTCAGCGGGACACCTAGTGCTTCAGTTTCAGTGTACACATTATTACAGTCATGTATGTTAAATGATCCCGTGTATATGCCCTAGAGGAGGACCTGGACCTGGACCACAGTCAGTGGGAGGACATCCATGTCGTTACAGGAGCGCTAAAGATGTTTTTCCGTGAGCTGCCAGAGCCGCTGTTCCCCTTCAGGTTCTTCCAGCCGTTTGTGGAGGCCATCAGTGAGTAAAAACTGACCAAAAAATATGAAATAAAAATAGAATAACAGTAGAAACAACATATCTTCTGGCATCAGGAGTGGATGAGATTCACCGTGGGGAGTCCTTTGAGGAGTACTGCAGCAAAATGGGGTGTTGGACCGTTATTATGAGTTCTTTGGTCTGGCAGGAAGTCAAACACGTTTCCAGTTGGTCTCGGCCTCCATCACAGTCGTCTTGTCTAACAGATCCTGGTTTTCTGCTGTCAAACAGTGGATTCTTCCTGCCAGGTTAGAAGTGGGTTGTACAATGTGTGCAATTGGTTGTATAGTCAGCAGTTCACACAACCACCAGAGAAACAGTAATAAATGACAATTCATGAAACAGAAAAATCACAATTAGTTATTGATTAGGCCAGTGGCAGCCAGGATAGATGAGTTTTTCAGGCTGGCAGGTGGTTCAGGCATTTGATCAGGGTGTGCCCTGGGCGCCTTCCATCGCATGGTTTTCTGGGCATGTCCTATGAAACCACAACAACATACTGAAGAGATCACACTGAACATCTCAGTTCCCAGGACCAGCTGGAAACATCTGGTTGTTGTTAAGTTGTTAGGCCTGCTGCTATCACAACCTGCCTCTGGATTAGTGGCAGAGAACGGATGGAAAAAGACAAGGAAAACAAAATAGATTAATATAGGCCTACACAAATGTATACTGCGCACGTCTATCTATAACACCATATGCATGGTTCTTTACATGTTAAACTGAAGTACACATGCAAAGCTACAACACTGTGCACACATTAAAATATGATACTATACAATACTATACACTCATTAGAACAACTGCCTCTGTCATTCCTCTGAACAGAGATAAAAGAATCCAAACACAAAATTCAGGCTGTGAAGAAACTCATCCAGGAGCTGCCCAGACCCAACCAGGACACCATGAAGCTGCTCTTCAGCCACCTGCACAGGTATGTCTACCATTCACTCAAACTCTGTTGAAATGTTAAAATCCATGTTTACGTGTTTAACATCCCTTGTTCAGAACTTCATTTAGTTGCTTGACCATTAATAAGAGGCTTCTTACATTCAGTAAGTTGTCTCCATCAGCAAAGTTGTCTGATGTTACTGGTTCTGGTTCTTGGAAACAGATTTATGGACTGAATTGAGTTTCACTGAGAATTTGACATGAAACAGGAACAAATCAGCTGACACAAACAAGTAAACCATGTAAGTAGAATGCTGACATTTATAAAAAAGGTAAGAGCTGAGGACAGGATGTGATACAGCTGGTGGAGCTCAGGTCTGACTGCAGCACACCTGTCTCCACTCTGTCACTGTGGAGGAGGGACAGGTGTCTTTAGTGTTTCTATCAGATCACTACATTGATTTACCTTCTTTCTCAAGCTGCACCATGAGAGTGAGCAGAGAGCGAGAGAGAGAGAGAGAGAGCTTCTGTTTGAATAGACAGGGAGACACTAGGTGGATTTCCTGTGCAGTCAGTCTGTTGTATCACTGCAGAGCAGAGGGACACTTTGATGAGACTGTGATGACAGTGGGTCAGACAACAGGAGAAAGAAATCCTCCTCCAGACAGAAAGTTTGAAACTACACAGACGAAACAGACAAAAAAAGGAGACTGCTGCTGCAGCGCCTAGAAGTGAAGAGTTAGACCTGAGCTGCACCTCTTCCATTTATACAGTGCCCTGGGGAAAAGACACTAATTCCTCCTCAAATGTTAATTACATGGATGTAAATATCACAATGTTTGGTTGTAAGTTTGTAACTGTATTCTTATGTAATAAACAATATATAAATAACACCCTATCACCCTATAGTTAGTGCAGTGAAATTTAACACACTGCAGCCGGTTATTGTGGATCTTACAGCCTGTATTTTTTTGCTGTTTTTCAGAGTTCTGGCCTTTTCCAGGAAGAACCTGATGTCCACTCAGGGCATCGGTATCGTGTTTGGCCCGACACTGATGTGGCCCGAGCTGGACGCAGGAAACATGGCAGTCAACATGGTCTACCAGAACCAGATTGTGGAGTTCATCCTGATCGAGAGCAGAGAGATCTTCAACCTGGACAGGAAGTAAAAGTTCCTGAGGTGGAGCTGATCATCTGACGGACTCACATTTACACATCAAAGTTAAAAAATAACCAAATTACTTCTGAGATGTTATTGTTTTAAAACAGAAGCCATGCCTGGTTTGGGCTGGACTGTAAAAAATAAATGGATGGTTTCTGGTCAGAACATATTTTGAAGATAATGTTTTAATTACCACAAACAGATCAGCTCACAGTGTCTGTCCGACAGTGACCACTGCTGTCACCTGCCTCATTTCAAAACATTTTTTAAGGTACATCAAAAACTTCCCGAGTTTGAGAGACTCCTGTCCGTCCATCTATCCATCAGCTATACCACTAATCCTATGAGGGTCATGGGGGGGCTGAAGCCGATACCAGCTGTCACACGGAGTATATTTATAGTGTATAGCTGTACAGAAATAATAATAATCTTGTTGATATTGAAGAAATGATAAACTCATACTATGAGATGATTAATCATGGTCATGTTTTAGATCTGAGTGCAGGAGACAAAGTCGGTTCAACATTATTAACTTTACTCCCCTTTACGCCAGAATAAGTCAGTGTGAAATATTGATGCACAGTCATATTTTTGACCTACTGATTCTAAACAGAACATTAACAGTGACCCCACATTGACAGAGCCCACACTGCGCACAAGAACATCCAGATCAGTAACAGTCCATTTCCAGAACCACAAGGTGAGGCACAGCTGCCTCCAGCTGCCTCCAGCTGCCTGGCAGAGGACGACGTTCAGGTGAATGAGTGCAGGATATTTGTTTAAGCAGCGTAACTGATGTAACTTACAGACATAAGAAAGCTTCAGCAAAGAAAAATCAAGTCACAGAATTTTTCCTGCAAGAATGAAATTATTTGAGAAGGATAGAAACATCAAGATGTTTGGTAACCCTCGAGCCACAGCAGAGGGTCTACATGCTTATGGCATAAGCATGGAGACTCCAGCTGAGTTAGGGTTAACCCTAACCCTGTGGGGGTCAGGCAGGTGAGGAATGGTGGAGCAGAGGTTCAGAACTGGAGACCGCTGGGCTGAACATGTGGTAGAGGGGCAGGCAGGTGGGGAGGGACTGTTAGATCTGTCAGGGAAGGGCAGGATGGAACTGGAGCTGAGGCAGGCAGACAGGACATGAATAATCCCGCGGCACAAGGAAAATGAGGTAAGACTGATGTTTTAAATAATCACGAGGAAACAAACAAACCTTTACAGAGAGGCCTAGATGTGTATCACTCAGGTAGACTGAATAATCTGGCCAAGAGTGACTGTGAAACCAGGGCTGAAATACTGCTGGCTGATAAGATGATGTGAGTCAGGAGAGGAACCAGGGAGGAGCCAGAGGAAAAGCCAGAGAGAGAGAGAGAGAGAGAGAGAGAGAGAGAGAGAGAGAGAGAGAGACACGGGGTGGAGACCAAAGGAGAATGGGGAACACACCTGGAGCCTGGACCAGGACCATGGCAGTTCTTCCAGTTTTTAAAATGGGAGACAAACACAGCTTTACTAACTACGTACCAGTGTCCTGGGTTAGGACTGCTGTCCTGCTTTCACTTTGTTTGTATGAAAACTTGATCGTTTTAATGAAAATAATTCAATTGTTGAGTGAGAGCCAATTCGTCTTTCAGACAATTGATCTACAGCTTTGATATGAATGAATTTAAGAATTATATAGCATTTGATCATACCATCTTAATTCTTTAAATAACATACTGTATGTCGTGAGAGTAGTTCTAACCTATTTAAAAATATTTAAGGATGTGTTCATTTATTCATTTGAACTAAATTGAGTTTTTTTTTTGTTAAATTTCAGGACACATCATCATCAGGCATTTCGGCCACTAGGAAGGCCGTATAATATCTGTTGTGTGAATTGTACAGTTTTATAGTTACGTTTGTTTTACAATTCAAAGCCACAAAAGAGACCAAATATGACATGATGAAATTTATTACAGTATGACAGATCCACCTGTGCTTCAGTCATTTTCTTTTCCTTCCTTTCCTCATGAACATTTTTTATCATCTTTATGAATATACACAAAAAATCCCTGGCTGATCCTTTAGTTCACTTGTGCTGGGAGTCAAAATTAAACCTTTGAAGGTTTTTTTACTCTGTACTTCATTCAGATAATGTTCATATAGAAACATATCAACATCAATAATAAGTGTAACCCTGTCACAATGACACTGACACACATCAATTTATTTTAACCCCATTTCATGTTTATGTCTGTACCACGCTGTAAAACGGTTCATAAATGTGTAGTTACGTGTTAGACTCATTTCTGCACATCAGCAAATAATACATGTTTTAATGGACCTTGAATTTATTCGCACAAGTCAGCAGGTTATAGATTAGTTTCTAATTGAGCTGGAAACACAAATACAGTGGAAACTGCTTATAGTGATAGATATAGTGGGAATTGTTGGGTTTCTTTCTATAATAAAGTAAGGTCTTGGCCTTACCCTGTAAAGTGCCGTGAGATAATGTTCTCTGTGATTTGGCACTGTAGAAATAAAATTTAATTGAAAAATTGAATATAGATGGTCCAGGCATTTTGAGTAGAGAGAGCAGGAAGTCATTACACAATGTCTCCAAACACCTGGTTCAGTGTTGAAAGAGTCTCAGTATATGACAGCTAATCATTTTTCATATGTTGTATGAAAAGATCCAGAAGGAACATGATGACTGTAAAAGAATTATTTCAACTGTATTTGTATAGAAATTATTCTGATCACTGTAACTGCTTGTTATAATCAGCTGATCACTATAATCAGCTGATCACCGTAGTCAGCAGGTAGGGATTAAAGTAAAGTGACCATAAACGCTACAGATAACACGACTTCCTGAAAGATCAGCATCGTGTCAGTGGGGAACATCATTTACTTCCTGTTACTCAACCAATCGTTGAACAGGAGTGTTGTGACACAGCCATCAGCTGATAATAACAGTAACAATACATTTGTGATGGTCGATCAGTATGAAAGTCCAACGGTCACCTCACTGCTGTGTTACTGTCCACAACCATCAACACACTGCAGGATACACAACAACTGCACCAAAGTTTAACACATCAAGTCCACAGACTCACAGACACTGCTGCTATAAAGACTCACGACACACAGCAGCAAGTAAGCACTGTTTTACACTGAAGAAAAATCACATATGCAGAAACACTTGTTGAGTAGCTGATGAATACTGTTCCAACAAAGTAAAAAAGACTTTCCATTGATAACATTTATAAAAAACTTCAGAAATAATGTTGAAATATCAAAGAACAATATCAGTGTGTCAACACTTTCAGTCCATGAAACGTTAGGAATAATAAAACACCTTGTATCATTATACTGTTTAAAAATCACAAGATAGTGTAACATAAAAATGATCTTTTATAAAATAACATGTCCCAAGTCACAATAATATTCTACCTTAATTACTGTTTGTGTTCGTTTTATCTATTTGTGTATTTGTCCTATTTCACTTCCATTTAAAGATCATTATAAATCTGGCTCATGAGGTCAAAATATGAGATTTGACTCGGTGTCAGGAAAGTCACAATATTATGAGAAATAAAGCCGCAGTTTGACCAAATGGCTCTGTAAGTTTACAAGAAAAATAACACTGAGGTAAAATTGTATTTTTAGAAATGAATTTAATATTAACAGTATTCACTGTTTGCAATACATGTTGATAGTATACACACAATGAAGTTAGAAATACTGTTTTATCATGAAATGTAAAATTATGAAGTTATGAGTGTCCAACTTTATACTTAATATTATATGTTAGAGAACATTGTTTTTATTGTAAAATTCCAGCTATATCTCATAATATAACTTTCGCTATATTAGCAACATGTTACCTTTATTTCCTGATAGTGGACACAATACTGTCACAATATTATATTTTACTTATTTATATTAATTTCTCTGCCGAGTCTGGTTTCACCCTGATAAAGGACAAATCCAAATGATCACTTTTAATTCAAATCCCTAAGAGATCCCTATCACTATGAGATATAATAAACATTATAGATAAACTATAATAAACTATACATGTCTTATTTTGATTTCCCTGCAGTGCTTTTATTTTTTATCATTCCTAACTTTTCATTCATTTTGTCTTTTATAACAGGTCTGAACTGCTGATCCTCATTAAAATAAATATTGAACTTGTTCAACTCATCAAACTGAACTGATCTCATCAGACAAACAGCACCAGAGCTGACTGATGTTCCATCAGAAACAAAAGAGAAAGACAGAAGAAAGCACTTGTTGGCTGTTAAGGTGGAATGGCTGTTAAGGTGGAAAGCTGTGGAAACGAGGAGTCTGGTTCCAGTAAAGGCAGAGCGGTGAGAATAGGAGAATTCAGAAATCCAAAAATCCACAGAGAAGAAAACTGATCCAGTCGTCTAACTGTGAAGACAGGAAGTGATGAACCTTTATTTATACAGAATGACGTTACAAAGCATGACTCAAACTTGAAAGGTCCAGTGTGTAGGATTTAATGTGATATAACATTTATAAGTATGTTTTCGTTAGTTTATAATGATGTCTTTGTCGTCTTAATGAGTCCTTCTCATCTACAGAGGGTCCTCTTCCACGGAGCACGCCATGTTTCTACAGTGGCCCAGAGTGGGCAAACCAAACACTGGCTCTAGAGAGGACCTTTCACGTTTAGACCTGAAGGCCACCAAGGATTCTCCTCCATCCTAGGCAGGGAGGGGTGAGAGAAGGGGTGAGGGAAGGGGTATTCAGCTGGTTGCAGTCTGCAACATCACAACTAGGTGGCATTAAATCCTCCACACTGGTCCTTTAATGATGAGACAAGAGTTTCTTCATCTCCACTGATATAACATATCATCACCAGAGAAAAGAAGACTCCATTTACAACAACTTACATGAAGTCAAGTTCAGTTCACTGGTTGGTTGACTCACCTGAGTTTACTTGCCGTGACTCTGATGGGGTTGTTGTTGTGTGGTTGTTGTGTGGTTGCTGTGGTTGTTGTGTGGTTGCTGTGGTTGTTGTGTGGTTGCTGTGGTTGTTGTGTGGTTGTTGTGGGTTGCTGTGGTTGTTGTGTGGTTGTTTGTGGTGGTTGCTGTGTTGTTGTGTGGGTTGCTGTGGTTGTTGTGTGGTTGGTTGTGTCGGTTGCTGTGGTGTTGTGTGGTTGCTGTGGTTGTTGTGGTGGTTGTTGTGTGGTTTGCTGTGGTTGTTGTGTGGTTGCTGTGGTTGTTGTGTGGTTGTTGTGTGGTTGCTGTGGTTGTTGTGATGTTGTTGTGTGGTTGCTGTGGTTGTTGTGTGGGTTGCTGTGGTTGTTGTGTTGGTTGTTGTGTGGTTTGCTGTGGTTGTTGTTGTGGTTTGCTGTGGTTGTTTGTGTGGTTTGTGTGTGGTTGCTGTGGTTGTTTGTGTGGTTGGCTGTGGTTGTTGTGTGGGTTGCTGTGTGGTTGCTGTGTGGTTGACTCACCTGGAGTCTACTTGCCGTGGTCTGATGGGGTTGTTGTTGTGGTGTTGCTGTCGGGGGGAGTGATGACGTGGACCTAGATGCTACTGCCGCCCACCGCTAGATCCCCCGTGCCCGCCGTATTTAGGTCTGCCGCTACCCCCATTATTAGGCCGAGCCCTCTTGCCCTGGAACCACCACCCTACTAGCGCCGTTGCGTCACGAAGTGCGCCCGTGCGGGCACTCTCTGATGTCGGTCTGGTGGATGGAGAGGATGATGGCTGCTGATGTCGCTCTGATTGGCTTGGCTAACATGGAGACAGGAAAACAGGTGAGACAGCTGATCCCATTCTGCTTCTCAGGGTGGGGGATTTGGGGAACCTTTAGATTTGAATCCCCCTCAGGAAAAACAAAAAACCTGCTTTGCTGTAAGCTCACTATCTGAGGCAGAGTGTCCTCTCCTGGAGACGTTCTGGAGCGGACAGCTTTCTTTGATGGCGGTCCACTTCTGTTGGTATCGTTTGCGGTCTCTCACAGCTGACTTTTAACGGCATTTCTCAGGGCGTTTCCAGGGCCTTTCACTCGCTCTGCTGTAGTCCGCAGACGCTTTTCTAGCATGGGCAGCTCACAGCGACAGGTCTGCGTTGTCGCGCAACCAGCTGGTGAACACAACGGGTTTAACTGTCATGAGGCCGATGATCATTCTTGGGCTTACGATGCTCCTGTGGTTGTTGTTGACGTGTGATTTAAATAGAGGATCCCTCCTTTCTAACAGGACAATGAATGGGAACACATCTCCCACTGCTTGTAAAGTGTATTTCGAAGGGAGGGTACGGACTGGCAGGTGAAGTGGAAGGTGTGGATGTTTCTATTGTGGGTGACTCACCTGTTTGTGGACCTTTATAAGCTGCTCAGGTTTATTCTCTAATGAAGACGATCTCTGTCTCTGAGCAGACTGCCGCGGCCTCGTCGCTGTCCGTTTCTGACTCTGTTAAGAGAAGAGACTGATGTAGGTCCATCACTGAACACAGAGACTGGTGTCTGGGAACTCTGAGTGAGAACCACAGGTGATGAGGAGCACCACAGATCTATCTTGGACAACCAGACACTGAATCCAAGATAAGAAATTCAAGACAGGAGGAGTGGGATTGTTTTCTCACGTTCTTCACGATGCGTAGAGCCGATGTCCTGGACGGAACAGTTTTTACGAAGTTATTGCAGCATCTGCAGCTCTTTTGGGGCTGTTGGATGAAACACAAAACTCGTCAGATCTGTCGCTGCTAGACAGCAATATGATGAAATGGTAAAAAAAATATATAAATCACGTACCATGTCTCCTCAGTCCCTCAGGTCCTCTTTGGCTTGCCTCCTCTTCTCAATTCAGGAACCTGAATCACACAAACAGACTGAGTCTACAACCTGCTGACTGAAGGAAACAGAGTGAATGAGCAGTCAAGGTTTCTAAATGTCAATATAAAAATTTTGTCTGTTTCCTGGGATTGATGGAGATAAACACGGGTGAGAGCTGATTCTCTCAGTCGGCTGCCATTAAACCACAGAAGAACGAAGATAAGGTAATTAGAAGAGATCCAGTCAAAGCTCAACGATGAAACATTGGAGATCTGACCTTTCTGTTTTATACATAACTTTTACACTTTAACACAAGCAACTTTTAATATTTATGTTTTATGTGTAAGACTGAGTACAGCAGGTGGATGGAGAGCTGACTTCAATCACACTTTTTAAAAATGAGAGAAATTTGAGTTCAGGATGTTTGGTAAGACAGCAGCTGTTTGAACACAGAGCAACAAACGCTACAGCATTTCTGGAGTTTCTGGTCTTTGTGTCTGAATCCCTCTGCTCTGCAGTTTGTTCAAAGTCAGCTGAAGTTCTGCTTCTCCAGCTGTGAAACTGATTCACACTGACAACAATCAACATACGTACATTTATCACGTTCTCCATTTCATTCACAAAAATTATCACAGAGAGAGAATCTTCACATTAATGTCATGAATGTAGTAAAAACTGAGTAATTTTTGTTAAAACAAACTTAAACTAAATCCCGTAGCGTGTGGAAGCTGATAGTAGATAATACAATAATTAATGAACTTTTTGCCTGGATGAAGGTCAAGTGACTGAACACAGAAACAGCTGAAAACACAACATTACCGTCACTATAATAATCAATTTTAACAATTACTTACTCTTGAGTTGTCGTACATTCCTACTGTTTTTGCTGGATCTCATCTGCGGAGTCGATCAGCTGTTTCTGATGAACTTCTCTGTGGTTTCTCCATCTGTTTCCTCTAGAGTTCTCTACAGAGACCACAAAGCAGCAACACTCAGTTCTCTCCACTTCATTTATCTGGCAAGTAGCATCAACACTTCTGTTGTAACCCCTTCTTTTACTCGAAACATTTAGGATCAGTCTGGTCGCCATGACACAGGCTTGAAGATACTTACGGATTTGTTTTAGTTTATTATTCACATGAATAAGAGATCAAAGAAAAACTGCCATGTACTTGAAAGAAGATGGAGGAAACCTCGACTCACTGTTAATATAAAGAAGCATGACTGCCTTTAAATAGCAGTGCACCTGGCAAGAAGATTATTACAGACAAGAATATTATTTCTCCACTATTGAGCAGGCTAGTAACAGACATTCGCCCCACCCCTCTGCAGCTCGCTTGTTTCTTCAAATAACACATGACCTCAATCAGAGCGCAGGACTACTGCTGATGTTAACTCGGCTGATCTCAGTAAAACCCTGTAAAAAAAAATGTTACCATGGGAAAGTCACCTGTATTACTTGATCTGAGCTCTGCAGGACTGTGACTCCGTGGAACTTCCTGTTACTCGCTGTAGATTCTGTTCATTCAGCGTTTCAGGTCATGTACTGAAACTTTTATTAATATATTCTTCGAAATGGCATCTTTCGCAGATGCCCTTCAAAACTGCTGTTGTAAAACCCTATGTTCCTGAGCAGTATAGGCCCGATATCCAACATTCCAGTCATTAGTAACATACTTGAAAGAATCATTTCAGTTCAGATAAACTCCTTTCTCAGAAAACATATTTATAAGAGCACAATGTATGGTTTCCATAGTTACACGGATGACGCACCACTGTACATACTCTGCTGAAACCAAATGATGCTGCAGCTATAAACTCATTACTACCTGTCTTCTAGCAATAAATAAATGATGAAGTAACAACTTAAGTTAAAATGAGGACAAAACTGAAATCCTACTAGTCTGTCCCAAACAAAAAAAAAAAACAAAGCTGTTCAATACCCTGAGGGAACTGACTCCTGGATTAAATTGAGGGTACAAGTCTTGGTGTTACTCTCAGATTCAGATCTAATTTTCCAGTCCCTCATCAACAAGGTGAAACAACATAATTTCCTCCCCCTTAGAACAGCTAGAGTTCGGCCATTATTTATATATATAAAGATTGATTCATGAGCCTTCATTTCAAGCTGACTTGATTCCTGCAACGCACTTTTACCTGGCTCCGAAAAAAAACCCCAGAGACTTCAGCTCATTCAAACTCTGCATCTCAGCTGATTAACCAGAACCAAGAGGAGAGAGCACATCAGTTATATATTATATAGGATATATAAAAGGCCTTAATGGGCAAGGACCAAGCTACATCCCTAACTCCTGATTAACTATGTCTGAACCACTGAGGTCACCCACTAGCTGCGTTACTAAAGGTTCCAGCAACAGCCGGAAGGGAAGTGGGACACTGGGGATGCAGCCTTTGTCAGTTACGGCCAAAAGCTATGGAACACACTACCATAATAGATATAAGATATGAGCAGCTCACTAAGTATTTTTAAAAGAAAGCTCAAAACTTATTTTCTTCACTTTAGCGCCTTTAACTAGGTTCTGAAAATTTTGCCGCTTTGCACCATTTATGAGTGCTCAGACACTTCTTTTAATTGTCCTATTATATTTTAATGATTGATCTAAT